GTGTCAGATAAGCTTATTGACACTGGACAGACAAGGTTATGTAAATAACAACAATTAGGTTGACATATATTATTACTACATTCACGTTATGGGATCTCGGCACGTGCCGAAATTTTTAATCCGTTGTGTTTGCAGATGGATTTCAGCAGTTGCGTTCATGTTATTCGGGATCCACTTAGGACCGACTCGGTTCGTGCCAAAATCACGCCCTCATTCGTCGATCTGTTATTTGGCCCAAACATGGAAAACGATACGCATATGATGATAATAATAATTGCTATGCTTAAATTATTTCCATTTGTTGCTATGGTATTTATAACGAGTCATCGTTCACATGACCGGCAAAGAAGAATCGAAAATTATTTTTTTTCACGTCAATGTAGTATTGCACATAAAGATGCGTCGCTAACGACGGTTTGCATTAATTTCATTCATTACTACAGCATCTGACCATATCCTCCGGGCGGAGCTACGTCACGCACGTTCTACGTTGCTAAGACGCGCACGACTGTACACGTATTTTTATGGGCTCTGTGCGCGCTGCTGTGGAACGCCGGTTGAGCCGGTGAAAATTCGAGAACACGACACAAACTCAACTTTGAAGTAATCCTGAACAACCAAATTTAAATATGTTACACACGCAGGGCTAATCTTGTTACACTGTTCAGGGGAGTCTCAACAACCGTCCCAAAGTACCGTTTTTGCGAGTTTTTAGTCTTTGTTCAGGCGGTGAAAATGTCCGGATGTCCGTCCCCGTGGATACTAGTATATCTGCATTCCTGTCATCGTCATTTCATGCTAGTATCAATCAACTTATGTTTTTCTTAAATTTACCACAGAGGGCGTGATTTTGAATCGTGCCGAGCGTTCAGGCAGCACATCTCGTGTCGAGTTTCGGTCCCGAGCATCTATCGGGACCGAGACCGAGTTTTTTTTTCGGCACGTGCCGACTCGATCCCGACTGTTTACACACAAGTTTCAGCACGTGCCGACTCGGTCTCGACCGTTTACACACAAGTTTCGGCACGTGCCGAGATCTCTAACGTGAATGCTACTATAGAAAACATGTTGTTAAAGTTAAATTTAAAAAAAAAATCATAGCAATCGGGTTCATTAATCAATTCTACACTAGATAGTTATTTGATAACAACTAGTTAGGGGAGCATTTACTTTACTGAAATTAAGCCAAGTTACTGTGCAGATGCCAAACTATTTATGACTTCTCGTCAACACTTGTTGAAGCTTGTTGACTGACTTCATTGTTCCAGCACTCAAACACCAGACATTCGTCATCACAATAAATAAACATGTTGTAACCATGGCGAGTGACATTGTCATTTTATATGTACTATCGAGTATTCCAAAGTTGGAAACATACGCGTTAAACACCAGTGAACTGCACAGCTATTCCGTACAAGATCTTCGATTAAATTCCCGTAACATCATGGCAAAACTAAGAACAAGTCTCGGTTAGACTTCATTCGTGGCAAAATGCTAATATAATAGTAAACTACCAATTACCAGTGAGCCCAGTTTGCCTTCCAAATACGTCTGTGACATGGTAGATCTCACGGTAGATCCAGCAACCTGTTCTTGAAATACTAAATCGTCAGCGACGAACCAATCAAACTCCATGTTCACATCCGTGACATTGGTTTCATAAGTAATGTTACAATGGAAGTTTATCTCATTTCCTTCTACCGTGTAACTTAGAGCAACTTTAAAAGAGAAACAAACAAACTAGTATTAGATTCAATGCAAGCATATGTCCTATTGGCGTGCATTGTTAAAATTTTAGTTAAAATCGTGACTGAAAAAATCCACAAAATCACATATGGGATTAATACGAACTCCCAAAAGGATTGTATTATTTTAATACAGTCGGTACACCACACATTGTCATTATCTAGTACTAAAGTGTTGACATATGCATTTTGGGGAGTGACTCTCATAACAGAAACCCAACGTCACGGTAACACTTTTAATAATGGTGTTTCTTTGGAATATTTTCCAATATTCATGTTTATAACAATTACCAAAGAAATTATTGATCCAATATCATGAGTCTGCGTTAGTTAGTTAAATGAATGTTTGTTATTACCTTCATCGTAAACTGAACGGCAACATCCATCACCAGTATCGTGACAAAGGCAATGATCGTTATAAGTGTAAGGATCTCCGCAAAGGCTTTCGCTGCAGTATGGATATGTGTTAATGTCGTCAGTGGTGCATTCACGGTAATAGATGTGGTAGTAGTAACACCAATCAATTGGACTGGGTGTAGTATACCAATAGTAGTCATAATACCAGCAATCAGATACCCAACACCGTGTCTCCACACTTTCAACTACACACACACACACGCACAGAGACAACAGAAGCACGTATACTCGCATATTGCCTTCTCACCATCTAGTGTGACGGGCTATAGACGTTACGCATTTATATACAGCACACTAGATGACAAGTATTCCACTCTCTATTTGATTTATATATATTTAGGTAAACACTGTATTACATAAAACGCTTACCGTGATTAATCTTGTCAAGCCCTCCGAGTAAAATGAATAAATGCATGCCAACAGCGGTGTGCAGGGGGTAAAACACATACGCAAACACACTACGCTACCATAAACTGAAAGCTCATAATATTACTGTAACTACGATACAATAACAGTTTAATAAACAGTGTAAATATTTGCGATATTAGAAACTATATAATAGTCTCCAATAATACTAATTCAAAAATAAGCAATGCTGGATTAGATTCTAATGATAAAACAAAATAAGATTTATACGTAAATGTGTAATTATTGAGTCTTTTATTTCAATACCTAAACAGACAATATCATATTTCAGGCATACGATGGTTGTTATTTTACGCGTGAAAACAACCATTGACCATTACTGTCACTGCCATATTGTTACGAACACGCAGACAGCAACATTGCCAGCTAAGTTGTGGACTGGAATGTTATGTGCGCCGCCTAAAGATCGTTACGCGATTAGAAACTAATAGTCGGGACTCGGGCACGTTGACAATAAATAGAAGATCACGATACAGTTGTTATTTAATAAAAGGTAAAATTATCCAAAAAAAATGTATGTAGTATCATAGTCTGAAATTTCAGGACACAGATGCTGGTTATGTCTGGTGAGTGTTACGCAATGTTATCAACAATAAGTAAATATTAATTATGACCTGTTAACTTATTTATTCTTTAAGATGTGTATTCATCGATAACCCAGTGACCTTATATAAATGGATACTATTGTATTATTGTGTCGTTATCGCACAACACAAATCACGGAAATATTTGATGTCAGAAACTGGTGCAACAAACATAGTTTGTAACATCAACTCGTACCGAAGACAAGGAACAAGGAAGTTCTCAAGGAGATTATAGCTAGGCGGTAAAACATAATAAAAAAAAACCCACACCAGATCAATTGGTAGTCCCACTTTGAAGTGCGCACCGAGTCGTTAAAATGCAAAACCCTTGCATGCCGACACCGTGACGACGTAAGCTAAGTATGCTTTGTGTGGCGCTATTGTATATCGTTATCGCATAGCACGGGAATATTTGATGTCAGAAACTGGTGCCTGGCACAACAAACATGTGTAACATCACTTTGTGCCGAAGACAAAGAGCAATAAAATTCCCAAGAAGCTTAAAGCCTTGCAGTAAAACATAATCCAATAAAAATCCAGACCAGATCAACCTGAAGTGCGGACCGACGATAACTCAATAAGACCCAAGTAAATATTTCGTTTCAGGTAAATTCGTTTAAAGGCAAAATCCTTGTATGCCGTTAATCACATCATGTACACAAAGTTGTTGCCTTCGTTCTTGAGTATACCACCGAGTTTATATAAAACACGGCGTGGCACGACTAAATGTGTCTTACCGGGTCAGATAAGGAATTCATGTCGAATATGGTGAGTTTTTTTACATGAAATTCGTACACGCGCTGTGCGACTACCACCACCCTTTAATTTGTTTCAAGAAAAAAAAATGTGCTCCTCGTTCATACAATTGTTTCTTAACTATTAACTTGACGCATGGAGCCGGCAACAGCCACTGGTGACGCTGTATACACTATATACCTATTTCGGCTTACCGTAGCTCATTTAAATTTCATTGTAAAACAAAAAAAGCAGTTGCTAAATTTAGTGACCAGTTTAGTATGATAGAAAGCGTTTACAGTCTTCAAATAATCACAATGGATAGTGTGGGGGTCAAGACCAAATATACGTGATTCCGGCGTTTCATACTAAATGCTTTCTATTAATAATTTCACTTTCAAATAATATTCATGAGATATGTCTACGTCATATCCTCGTTAAAGGTTATTAACATATTGTGTACGAAGTGCGCATGCTTCGGGCTCTGTTTCCGTATTCCACAACGCATGCGTCATCACATTGAGGTCATTTGAAGTTCACGTTCCATGCAACGTAACGTTCAGCGCCGCCAACTTATGGGTTTCACCACATTGATGGTGCTGACGGTTGTGTTCGTATTCGAAGCCCACACATAAGCGACGCTACAGGATATATACACCAGCTAACAAGCCACACAAACCCAGCGACAGCTGAGGATTTGTACCCACTCCTACCATACGCTGTAATATGCAATGACAATCTTGGTTTCCCCCATAACTCTGGGTAATTTTGCTTATACACCATGAGATAGAGTGGCATGTTTTCAGTCTCATTATTTTTAGATTAGCCGGATGTCAGAAAGTTGTGTATTAAAATGAGGACTCGAAATGTCTAAATGACGGGCTACTACCCAACCAAACATAGTTCTCGGTGTTAAATATTAATGGCATAATCTACGTCATTTATTTGACGTCACGGAAGCGCCTCGTCGCTGGAGGAAGAGTATATACGAAGTGCTGTTGATGGGTGAGATCTCGCTGGTGGTGTTGAAATGGGGGGGGGGTTACTCAGCTGTTTGTGGTGAACATTCGTTGTTGGTGTTGAAATCTCACGGTTAGTGGTGAGATGTCGCTGGTGGTAGTGAGATTTCACTGTTGATGGTGATAACTGGTGGTTGTGAGATATCACTGGTGATGGTAGATCTCAATGTTGGTGGTGAGAAACCAATATGTCCCCCCTATGAATGATGAACATGCAATCAATCGATGATAAAGTAGCCTGCAACTGATTTCTCACCAATAATTTTTGCACGGATCAGAGGTTCACTAGTGACCATGAATAACTTGTTTGTCTTTTTATGATATTATAATGCTGGATATTGCCTTTAAGATGATAAAAAACGCACAACTACTTATCAAATTTATTGACCATTGGAACGACAAATTAACGAGATAGATGAAAATAAACTTTAATGAAAATAGACGTCATATTATGAGGCTATTACGAAGATATCTCAAAGTATGCACTCAGACAGTACGCCATCGAATCGACCGACGCTGCTCGTCGGTCGATACTTTCGCTGTACTGTCTTCTAACCTAATTATTATACATCTTTTTCTTCCAAGGATGCATCATGGAAATGCCGAAATTCAAAAAAGTTTAGAACAGAATCAGCGAACTTCTTTGTGTGGAGTCCGGTCAAACTTTGGTGGCAGCCACGTTTGTTTTTATTATTAGAGGACGCTTATGCGCGTAATCATTCCATATTGAGAATTCGCATTTCCTAATATGGTAGGATGAAAATACCCCGTAAAATACCGCAAAATTACCGCACGATGTTACTTGTGGCGTTACGGTGACAGATGTATAATAATTGTTAATATTTCTAAAGAGAAACAAAAATATTAACGTGAACATTCTACTTGCTAAATTTATTAATACAAATACTGATACTTTGACAGTAACACCTCAATTAGAAATATAGACAGAAATATTTGATATGTTTACTCCGTATTTTTTGTTATTTTGTACTGTATTTTGTTTTTGTACTTTTGTTGTGTAAACAGTTTTAATCCCTTCTGGGCAATTTTATGTGTTCTCATTAAACTAAAACAGTCCCAGCACATGCATGTAACGAACTAACTTAAGACTAAGTTTGCTTAGAGGGCGGGTCTGATAATTAAACCATCGAGGCAAAGATTAATCAAGTAGGCTTAGCTGACCACTTTACAATACCACTTGTAGACTGAGCGACTGTGTTGTTTCAAACTTTAAAACGGTTCTAGAGGTGACTGCTGCCCTGTGCTGCGCAAACACATTGCATGCTGGCCATTATATTTAACGTCTAATTTGAAAGCCGATAATTATGATTTTTGATTCGCAGACAACACAAATTATTATTATACACACAATAATATATATTATATGAATAACTCATAGCCATGAATTTGCATTAATTCCTTCACGTAGTTCAGACGTGTTCAAGTTATTAACGGGATTACAAATCACGTGATGGTTCTCTGTGTTCATCATGACATGCATGCTATGTCAAGCACAATTTATAAGCTACCGTTATAAATTATAGATTTTAAAATCTCCAGAAGCAGGTAAGTCATTACAATATAGAAATAATATAGCACCGGTTCAACTTTAATAGGTTATATAAACTGCATGCATACACGTAGTGCCATATATACCGTAATACTTATACGCGCTCTACACTGCAATACCGCCCTCAACTCTATGCGAATCCCCCTTGATTCTGGCTGCTGGCCATTTTCGTTCATGAAATCGTCGGATATCATCAAAAAACGCGGGATTTGTGCAGTTTTGAATAAAACCAAGTTAGCGATTATGAACAATGGTTATTAACGTAACACCTGATCCCCTCTAAATTTTTTGTTTCGCATTTTAAGGTAAGAAATCGACATTTGAAACCGATTTACAAGGTGCCATTTCACAACTTGTTTATTTATATACGTATAGCGGATGATTTTTTTGTTGAAAATTAGTATTTATTGATTTTCAGCCCCCAAGTGACTGTGCTTACAACATACCACGTTCCCGGAAGTCGAAGATACGGCGTTTCGCATGCGCGCGCATGCCGTTTTGGGGTGTAACGTAGACTTGCACGCCTGATATTGTGCTTCTGGGTATACCAATCGACGTCACAAATATAACATTCCATTCTATGGACTATCAACAACCTGACATGTTGGTATTTTCCGCCAAGACAAAGCAGGAGTATTTTTGCACCCCAGTCTCGCTACTTCCGGGAAAGTGGTCTATGACACCCTCTTGTGGCGAGACAACATACCCGGCTTATTAGAACTACAGAGGGCGATACACATACACTACAATCTTTCAGGGCTCATACCACTAATTGAATTTCCATAGACGACAATGTTAACATATGACGAGATTGCTATATGAAAATGACGAAGAAAGTTGAAAATATGGCTCAAAAATGGGAAATCAACAAGCCAGTAATCAACCATATGAAAAAAACTAACATGTTGGCCAGCTCAAACTCTTGCAAATCTCAGGTAAACAAGACACACCTACTGTATTTGGATTGCACCAAGAGAAATCACTGGAAAAACACCAAGATTAGAACATCCATTAACACACAGAATAAACCCACAGGTACTAAGCCGCTAAGTAGTAAACAAAAGACCACATGTTGGTCTCACCTCTGACCCAGGTGATTACGCCCTCAAACAGGGTGCACCTGAGAAAAATAATATTTAAAAAATTTCATTGGTTCTTGCTGGGCATTTAAATTGAAATAAGAGAAATAAGAAGGTTTAATAAAGTTCTTGTTGATCTTATATATGATGGAATATCATTAGACGAGTAATTTCCCATGCAAAAAAAATCCCCAAAATTTAAACCCTGGGAGTTATTTATCAAAATCTACCACTTGGTGGCGCCCTATACCCAGACAATTAGTTGTAGAAAGTGGCAACATACACACTCAGCATAACACCAAAATAGATGGTAGGCAATGAATATAAGCCTGATTATTAGATGCAGTACTGTAAAATATAATGTTCTCATTCACCACAAACAAGTACAGACCAACGTTTGGCATGATTAGTAATTTTAATTAATTTCTAGAAATAATACATAGAATAATGACAATTAAAAGTAGTTTATCACTATAATTTAAAAAAAAAAAAAATTCTACTGAATCAAAAGTCTCAATTCATCAGCTCATTATTTCTCCAATTAATTAAAAACAAAAAAACAATTCCACGGTATCTGCATTTAGGCCGGAGACCTGTGACTGA